TTCTAACCCTGGCACGACCATCGTGCATGCCTAAACAAAATCGAGACTCGTCACTAAAGACAATTCCTGATCCCAGAGTGACCATTGTCTGCACCACTCAAGGCGATTACGTCGGTGCTCTCGAGTTAAAGGGAGGACCCAGTGTGGCCGGTATGAAAACAAGCCAAAACTTCTCATTCGTCGGTAAACACTTCGCATGCCAATAGGTCTTCCGTGTCCTGCAAACCATTCATTTGCAATGGACCTGGTAGTGGAGAAACGGTCCCTTAATGCCAATAATCTTAGGCGGCGATCTTCACGGTCTGTTGTTCTACGGCGGCGTCCAGTGCCCCTTGCTCTTTGCGTACGGCCTTCTCGAAGCCATGCCTGACAACACCTAACCACAGTGTCTACACTTCTTTGCACTCTAACTGCAATTGCCGGAAAAGAAAGTCCAGCTTCCCGAAGTCCCACTATACGGCCCCTATCGAACTCACTAAGTTGACGAAATCGTACAGGTCTCCGTACTCTAGGCATCGTAACCGATCGTAAAGGATGTCAAGAACCAAAATCCGCCAACGTTGATTCTTTACTGCGGCTAAAATATTCATTTTTAGAGCGTTAGTGAATTAAAAAAAAGCAGTATAAAAACCGGAATGTCCAACTGATAAGGCTGAACATGTTTTCACTTGTTATTTACAGTAAGATAAATACATTCACCAACTTTTATTAAAATAAAACCATTTAAGCTGGGCGTTCGGATTTATATGTCACTTAGTATATTTTTAAAAAAATTATATTTTTCAAAAAATTTTACAATATTGTTATGATGTTAATAGTACAAAGTCTTAACTCTGGTTGACTGTAAAAGGTACCAATGTAAAAAACCTGCTTACGTATTACTTGAATGGCCCGGAAGACTCAAATTCAAATTGGGCTTTTACGTTAATATCTCGTGTGTTGACTGAATAGGATTGTTTAGCTGTCTATCTCTGCGACTATAGCCACCAGCATACAAAGTTGTTTCGTTCTTTTCAGGAATCATCAGTACGGTATACGTCTAGTCATTCGGAGTCAGATGTCAAAAAGCAAACAATATGAGTCTACTGAACAACAAAGTATGATAAATATAGATTTTCATCTTGTATATACAATGTGTTTGGTCACGACATACCGATATTTAAGGGGGGTATTTTTCAGCTATTTTTATCGACAAATCCATCCCCCTACAATGTCCTACCTCACCCCCCTTGAAATGGCAGCCATTTTCATTTTTACGTTACGATTACGCTAGTCACAGAATGGTAAATTTGGTGTCATTGGAACGATAACATGTTGTTCTAGCGATTATTGAAAACCTTTTATTGATACTAACGGTCAAACATACTTAAAAACAGACAAAAACAGAAAAAAAATGCAAGAAAATTGTACATTTCCGTACACCATTCAAAAAATAGTTTGTGAAGTTGTACTTTGTTTGTGCTAATTCTACAGTTAACTATGTTATCTACAAAATGACACCAAATTTCTTCTACGTTCAGTAATAAATGCCATCTAACATGGGTCAAAGTATACATAAAAATGACAAATCAAAGTTTCTTATAAATAGTTTGGACATGTTTAATGTCACAGAAGCTGTTCAAAATGGCCTCCATTATTGGTTATGCAGATCGTAGTTCTTAAAACAATGTGTCGTGTTGAGCAGCGGGTCATATCCGTTCGCAGCGGTATGGATCCTTTCCACGAGCTCTTCCCGAGTCGTCGACACATGCTTCATTGTGTCCCAGAAAAAATAATCTAGGGACGTTAAATCGGGTGATCGGGGTGGCCAAGCGACAGTGCCTCCACGTCCTATCCATGGAGGATGTTGCCTATCCAAATTTTCTAGCGCAAAAGCGTATGGGAGCTCCAACCATATGTTGCGGCAGTTGATAAGTTGCGTAGATCTGAAAACTCGGTTCTCAAGAAGTCCAAAAATCCCTGGCCATCTAACCTTGGAGGTAGCTCAACTGGGCCGATTAAAACTCCATCGATCATTCAGGCCCACATGTTTACATCAAATTCCTGTTGGAAAGTACTCAGTCGAACAATAAGTGGTCGTTTCTATGGTTTATGATACCGTGCCTCGTAAATTTAGCTTCGTCCGTCCATAGAATTTTTTGTGACATTGAACTATTTATAAGAAACTTTGATTTGTCATTTTTATGTATACTTTGACCCATGTTGGATAGCATGTATTACTTAACGTAGAAGACTTAGGATAACAAATTTGGTGTCATTTTGTAGATAACATAGTTAGCTGTAGAATTAGCATAAAAAAAGTACAACTTCACGAACTAGTTTTTGCATGGTGTGCGGATATATATATATATATATATACAGGGTGTCCGCAAAGTTGGGGTTGTCCTTTTCAGAAACAACTACCCTTGAAATAACAAAGGTAATGTGTAGTGAAACGAGGGCGACCAAGTAAAAAAAATAAAGGAAAAAGTACTCACTCTCCAGTTGACGAGAAGGGCTAAGTACGTCTCTGCCCGAAATTATACCGCTCCAAGAGAAAATGAAAACAGCTGATGCGCTACCGAGCAGACGCAGGCGGTGGTGCAGACCACGAACAGAGGTAACAAATATGACGGCGTTGCCGCGTTTTCAGTTTTTAGGTAAACGTACTTTATAGGTCTTGTTCCAAGTTATCGCCGTTTGATTCAAAAACACGACGTAGCCAAGCATCGGTGCAGGCTTTGAGAATGGAGTCCCTCCCCCGAATGAAAGCACCAGCTTGTTCAATTCTGAGACGAAGTTCGTCAACCGTATGCACTTTAGTTTTGTACCCTAAGCGTTTAATTTCTCCCCAAAGAAAAAAATCACATGGTGTTAAGTCTGGAGATTGCGGAGGCCACGCTACGAGTCCATTACGTCCGATCCACCTATTCGGAAATAATTCATTCAAAAACTCACGCACTTCGCATCTAAAATGGGGCGGTGCACCATCGTGCGGAAACCACATTGATTGTCTTACACTTAATGGCACATCTTCTAACAAGGAAGGCAAAATGTTGCGTAAAAGGTCTAGGTATTGCATCCCGTCCAATCGATTTTTGAGAATAAGTGGTCCAATGAGCATACCGTTCACCATGCCAGCCCAAACATTCATCGAAAATGTTTGTTGAAAATGTGCCCGACGGACAGCGTGCGGATTTTCTACTGACCAAACATGAGTGTTGCGGAAGTTATTCACCCCATTACGCGTGAACGTAGATTCGTCTGTCACCAATATGCACTTCAAAAAGTCCGGATTATTGTCATGTTGATGCAACAACCACTCACAAAACCGCACTCTTGCTGGAAAATCGTCAGGTTGAAGGGCTTGTACACGTTGGACGTGAAACAGATACAGCCCCTCTTCACGCAGCGTTTGCAACACTTTAGTTTTTGATACTTGCACTTCTCTAGCCACGTCTCTAGTGCTTGTTGAGGGATTCTCGTCTACGCGATTACCTCTACACGCGTGACCGTAACCATCGGTTGAAGGTTGCATACTGACCTGACACACTGACCCCGACCCATTTCTGTCGTCGGGTTGAGCCAGTGACCTTGTACCAGTCGGTGATGTCGCGGCTACAGGACGGTATTCAGATATTTTTGATGTTGCAGAGCCCTTTATCTCGGTTCCCTTAAGACATTGGTGTATATGGTACTAAGAAAAATTGCTTATGTTTTCAAGATCTACACGTCGTGTAAAGGAAAACCCCAACTTTGCGGACACCCTGTATATATATATATATATATATATATATATATATAAAATTGTAATTGTAGCTTGTATTTAGATACCTTTCGTTTGGTATCTAAGTATTTCGTAAATATTATATATGCTAAAATACCACGTTTTTATTAATAATTACCTATGCATTTCTTCACATAACGCGCCCTAGTCTAGCGCCAAGAATATGTATTACAGCTAATGCTGATTGACACAAGGAAAGTTAATTGATCTGATAAACAAGAATCGAATTCTTTAGATAATATTGGAATTGATATAGAAAATAAGTCAACAGTCGAATCTTCTTACATGTTCTTAGAGGACTGTTTCCTCTACTGCAAGTGGCGATAACAGTAAAAACACACGATCAACTGGCAGCACCGCTGACTTGACATTGAAATACCTAAGTAATAAAGATACCAGGTTAAATAGCATAAATATTTATCCTGAAATAAAAAAAAAATGTTTTTCAAATATGGCAAATGTTGTCAAATTCTGCTCTCTCTATTGGGGGTATGATAAGACCTCATTGAAGAAAAATGTTTGGTTAAAACCTCAAACGTATGATATTTTGCCACATTTGTGCGATACGCATAAATAGTTCGTGTAATAAAATAAACTAAATAAAATGTCGTTTTTTGCAAAAGTATTTTGTATTTCAAGTGTTTAAAAGCTATGTATCTAAATTAAACATTTATTTATTAGCTACGCCGAGTTCGAATCGTGATCACTACCAGTGGCGGCTCGTGGCAAAATAAAACAGGTGTTCTGCAAATCCGAACTTACCTATTCTTTATGTCAGTTCGATCGAAATTTTCTATTGTCGAAATAAATTACTTTTCAATGGAGAGCATCTACAACGCTGTAAGGCGATCGTGAGTCATAGTATTTCGAAGAAAGGTCTCGATTCTTTTCAATGTTGAGAAATTTCGGTCAGCCTCTGATGTTGACATAGGAGTTGTAACAATAATCTCTAATAGCTTTTTTGGTTCTTCTAGTGTTTCCTTCAAACTATTTTGTATCAAAAATTTCAAAAGAGACAGAGTTCCATGTGAATGTCGGCAATCATTCCGTGCATAAATAACAGACAACTCCGTCTGTAAACGACTTTTTTCTAATTCGGGATAAGCCAAGCAGGTAGTTTCCAACTTGTCATCAGGAAACTTATTACCACAGTATTCTCCTAAGTGTTCGGGGGAAAAAAGGGATGCGGCTAGCAAATGATCTTTGATTTGAAATCTGTCATTTGCAGAATTCACTAATTTTCGCATACTTCTAATGCGGCAACTCGGTGATCGTGACTGCTATTATTACGTCGTCTCCTTTTGTTGCCTTGGGGTTCAGTGCAAATGCTTTTGGCTTCATTTATTATGTCATCAATTTTATTTCTCACATCGACAATACATTTTCCAAAATTATCGATAGCCGTTTTAACTTGCGCTGGATCGGTTTTTCTCTTCTGCAACTGGTTGAACAAGATGTCGACGTGAGGCATGACATGATGAAAAAATGTCAACCACAACACGAAAACAAAATCGTTTAACATACGGCGAATACAGCAAGCTGACTTGCAAACGGTTTCATTAGTGAAATTTTCTTCTATTTCTTCCATGCATTCAATGAGTGATTGTCTGTTATCAGACACTACATTTATCGTCCGAATATTAAAATTCCAACGAGTTGTTGCTCCTTGGGGAATCTTTTTCCCCATAATTCTGTTCAGTACCTATACGCGTTGAGGAAAATTATTAAAAAATCCCGGAATATCTTTCAAATCCCCAAAGAACACCCGAACTTGAGCATTTGTGGAAGCAGCTTGGGACATAATCAGGTTTAACTGATGCGCATAGCAATGCACATAGTGAGCAAATAGATATCTTTGTTTAATTTTTGCCTGTACTCCAGCATTATGTCCGCTCATTATCACGGCTTCATCATAGCTTTGTGAAAACAGTTTGTTCAAATTTTAAGCCACGTCACGCAACAAGACCAATATGCCAATACCGCCGAGGACCGAGCACCGACCGACCAATCAGCTATTGTTCTTCGCATTAGATCTGTACGGATCTGTACAAATTGCAGCACATACTTATGCTTAAATCGCGCATTTGATTTTGTAGAGAGAGACAAAAGCAAGCGCGTTCGGCTTGAGTCGAAGTAGTGCACGGACCCTTTTCAAGTGGCCCATGAATAATGTTACGCTGCGGTCGCGACGAAAATGACAAGTACACAATTGGTCGATTATAACGCTTTCTCAGTACAAAACAGACTCGACGCCGTGTCTTGCTGGGGCAGCGTTGCCGGTATTGTTTCTATTTGTGTGATAACATGGAAAATAAGTAATGATCAAATTTTATTCTAAATGTTTGACATATTTTTACTTTGTGGATTCTCATCCAGTGACTTGTTATCCACATAATTTATATAAACAATATGACCAATAAGTTATCAAATCAAATCAAAACTCATTCAACCACCCTCGTTAGCTGACTTCCCTCTACTTCTCAACCTAATGAAAATCCGCTTCTATATACGGCGCCAAATTGTTTCATAGAAAAGAGTGCACGACTCCGTTACTTTTGCGACGCTGTAGATTCAAGTTCAAGGAGCTCTTCACAACTAGAGTCATTAACATTTCAACTCATCTGCAACGCACTTAAAGACACGCGCCACCGGCTCTCCCGACGTTCTTATCTTTTTTTTACTTTCATCTTCTCACGAGATGCTGAATACTGAATGAACGAATGAAGAGAAGCTTATAGCCTAGGCGACAAGGTCAACGCGTAACGGTGAGGTCAAATTTTTTAACCTACACATGGTGTAAAGTATGGATCAACAAAGATATTCGATGACTTGAATCTAAGGAATCTGCGTTCTTCTCAAAATGCCTATCAGATTATTCAACAAGTTGCCAATACTGTTCAGAGCCGTCACCAATTTCAATGTTTTCCAACGCCGCGTTAAAAGTATACAAGGTGTCCGCAAAGTTGGGGTTTTCCTTTACACGACGTGTAGATCTGGAAAACATAAGCACTTTTTCTTAGTACCATATACACCAATGTCTTAAGGGAACCGAAATAAAGGGCTCTGTAACATCAAAAATATCTGAATACCGTCCTGTAGCCGCGACCCGGGACATCACCGATTGGCACAAGGTCTCAACCCGACGGCAGATCTGGGTCGGTGTCAGTGTGTCAGGTCAGTATGCAACCTTCAACCGACGGTTACGGTCACGCATGTAGAGGTAATCGCGTAGACGAGAATCCCTCAACAAGCACTAGAGACGTGGCTAGAGAAGTGCAAGTATCAAAAACTAAAGTGTGGAAAACGCTGCGTGAAGAGGGGCTGTATCCGTTTCACGTCCAGCGTGTACAAGCCCTTCAACCTGACGATTTTCCAGCAAGAGTGCGGTTTTGTGAGTGGTTGTTGCATCAACATGACAATAATCCGGACTTTTTGAAGTGCATATTGGTGACAGACGAATCTACGTTCACGCGTAATGGTGTGAATAACTTTCGCAACACTCATGTTTGGTCAGTAGAAAATCCGCACGCTGTCCGTCGGGCACATTTTCAACAAACATTTTCGGTGAATGTTTAGACTGGCATGGTGAACGGTATGCTCATTGGACCATTTATTCTCCCAAATCGATTGGACGGGATGCAATACCTAGACTTTTTACGCAACATTTTGCCTTCCTTGTTAGAAGATGTGCCATTAAGTGTAAGACAATCAATGTGGTTTCTGCGTCTGCTCGGTAGCGCTTCAGCTGATTTCATTTTCTGTTGGAGCGGTATGATTTCGGGCAGAGACGTACTTAGCCCTTTTCCTTTATTTTTTTTAATTGGACGCCCTCGTTTCACTACACATTACCTTTGTTATTTCAAGGGTAGTTGTTTCTGAAAAGGAAAACCCTAACTTTGCGGAAACCCTGTATTTATGGTAAACGCTTTTTACAGCATTGAAGAATACTTATCATCGGGCTTCTGAATTGAATAATTATTTTTTTAAATCTGTTTTCAACATGTTTATTCGCAATTTTTTGTTTATTCGCTATTTATTAATTTCTCTTTAATCTGTTTGCTTATTTATGTTGATACTTTTTGTAATTATGTTGGTATTATATAATTTATTGTAGCTTTGACAGTAGAATCGCAACTTCTTAAGTATTTTTTCATTTTATGTTCCTTCACAATTTACCAATACTCTTTTAATTCAAATGGTAATAAAGATATCTATCATTATTATTTTATACCCAAGCAGCTGTCACTCTGAAGTCCTGCATGTAGAGTGCTGTCGTCAGCAAAGCTGTGGATGTTGTTAATACCTATCGAATTTGAATCCTATATGTATACTAAGTGACACATAAATCCGAACACCCAGTTTAAATGGTTTTATTTTAATAAAATTTTGTATAAGTACTTAATGAAGCATAATAAGTAAATGATAAAAATTTCAAAATGCTTGCACTGATTTAACGCCCTTTGACCTTTAATAATGTGTGGATGCACCCTGGTGTGCTACGCATTCTCCAACGCGCCTAGGCATGCTTCTGATCAGGTGGTCAATGTCCTCCTGTGGTATCTCATGCCAGGCAACCACCAACTCCTCTCGAAGTGCTTCTAGAGTCTGAGGAGGACGGTGCAAATTGAGCAATCTCCTACCCATCATATCCCACACGTGCTCAATTGGGGATAAGTCGGGAGATCTTGGTGGCCATGGTAACAATGTGACATCATTATGTTGAAAGAAGTCTATTGTGACTCTTGCAACATGTGGTCGGGCATTATCTTGTTGGAAAGTTGGATCTGCCAGGGTGTCAAGATAGGGTAAAAGATGGGGTTCTAGAACTTCGTGGATATAACGCTGCGCGTTCATGTTGCCTCTGATGAAGATTAAAGGTGACCTGGAACCATAAGCTATAGCACCCCAGACCATAACTCCAACAGTGTGATGAACATGTCTTTCAACAAAAAACTGTGGATTCCTCCTTTCACCACGTCGCCTTCTAACCCTGGCACGACCATCGTGCATGCCTAAACAAAATCGAGACTCGTCACTAAAGACAATACTGTTCCATTCCTGATCCCAGAGTGACCGTTGTCTGCACCACTCAAGGCGATTACGTCGGTGTTCTCGAGTTAAAGGGAGGACCCAGTGTGGCCGGTATGAAAACAAACCAAAACTTCTCATTCGTCGGTAAACTCTTCGCATGCCAATAGGTCTTCCGTGTTCTGCAAACCATTCATTTGCAATGGACCTGGTAGTCGAGAAACGGTCCCTTAAGGACAATAATCTTAGGCGGCGATCTTCACGGTCTGTTGTTCTACGGCGGCGTCCAGTGCCCCTTGCTCTTTGCGTACGGCCTTCTCGAAGCCATGCCTGACAACACCTAACCACAGTGTCTACACTTCTTTGCACTCTAACTGCAATTGCCCGAAATGAACGTCCAGCTTCCCGAAGTCCCACTATACGGCCCCTATCAAACTCACTAAGTTGACGAAATCGTACAGGTCTCCGTACTCTAGGCATCGTAACCGATCGTAAAGGATGTCAAGAACCAAAATCCGCCAACGTTGATTCTTTACTGCGGCTGAAATATTCATTTTCAGAGCGTTAGTGAATTAAAAAAAAGCAGTATAAAAATCGGAATGTCCAACTGATAAGGCTGAACATTTTTTCACTTGTTATTTACAGTAAGATAAATACATTCACCAACTTTTATTAAAATAAAACCATTTAAACTGGGTGTTCGGATTTATATGCCACTTAGTACATATTTACTATGCTAGCCTGTTAAGATCTCATTATGAAGTATTTTCATAATATTGTGTAGTGCATCTGCATGAACGTCTGCTGAACCAGCGATGTTATTAAATAAGGAGCACAACATGCTTATCCTTATGGGAGACTTCCATCGTTTTGTGAAGGAAGATGTTTCTAATGATGTATTGAAGAGTTGTGCAGCGGGGCTAGCTCCAGTTCTTTCGTATCTCTTCCAGATATCTTAGGAATCTGATTCTTCCTCAGAGAATTGTTAATTCCCTCATATCCAGCTCCTCCCAAAAAAGGGATCTAAAGCCGACCCTCACAACTATAGACCTATAGCTCTGCCTTGTGACGTCAGAAAGGTGTTGCAGAAGTGCATCATAGGGAGCAGCGATCAACGGGAAACCTCCAGTCACATAGTGAGGCTCATGTCGTTGCTCTTGACATCATGAAAGTATCCTATCGGCTGTGACATTCTTCTCAAGCTTCCATCTTAGAGTCTCCTCAAAAAGCTTTGCAGATGGGTGACTGACTTCCTCTCCGACCGCAAGATATCCGTAGTGATTGTCGGGATCTGCTCCTCGTCAAGATTTCTTTTTAATATTTGAAATAAACGTTCTTGAGGAGTGAAGAAAGAATGTTTAGATCACCCTAAGGAAACGATTTATGTGAAGTTGAATCGACTATATTAAAGAGTTTTTTTTGGGTTCTGGCATAAAGGTCAGA